TCCTTCCTTCCTTCCTTCCTTCCTTTGGGCGCAGGTCTGGTTCACAGACCCGTGCCGTTAGGCACCCCCCACCCTCTTTGGTTTGTGAGGGAAAAGGGGAAAGGGCTTTGGGGTCACCTCCCCTCTCTCTCTCTCTCTCGGGCCCTGTCACGGACCCCCAGCCCTTTCGGGGCGCACTGGTTGGGGGTTTTGGGGCAGTCAGCAGAAAAGAAGGAAAGCACATGGCAACATTCCCGGATCCTCCGAACAAAAACACCAGGCTAACAACCCACAAGCTCACTTGGGTGGGATTGAAAAAACGTGCCAAAGTGAACTGACGATGCTTCGACCGTAAATGCTTCACTGGAGCATTTGCTGGAGGAGCCTTATGACAAAAGGAAAGCTTGGAGACGTTTGAGGTACTGGCAGAAGCCCTGAAGGATTAAAAATTGTAGGCACCAAAACTTTGCCAGGCTTCACGCAGAAGCGATAACTATGATGATGATGATGATGATGATGATGATGATGATGATGATGCTACTTTTAGCAATGCCAAAACCATCCTGTTACTACTGCACCCTGTTCCCGTCTCGGGTCAGGAAGTACTATGCGGGGAGAATGCACCAACACAAGTAGATGTCAAAATCTGCGAATGTTCTTCCGTACTTCAAGGTGAAATAAATGCAAGGGGCCGATCTTTTTTGTAGGGCCAATGAAGAAGGGCTCTCGCATCATCAGAAACTCCCGTTCCCAACAACTCAAAACCCTGTGTGATCTCCCAATTGCTGTCCTGCTTCTACAAGTAGGAAGCTCAACTCGTCAGGCGAGACGCAGCATGGAAGTCTGCACTGGCTCCAGTCTACATCTCAAGGCTTGCGGGCCATGTACGGTTAGATTGTGGCCTATTTTCCGAAAGTCCTTGTCAGGGAACCTCGACGGGGCTGGCATCATGTTGTGAGTCTAGACCATGTCCTTGCCAGATGGTTCTCGGGCTTACTGTAAGGCTTCGGCTGCGCAAAGCCGCCAAAGCTCCATCACAAACCTTCGACAAGACATCACACGGCCAACCTTGACTGTTTTTGGAAAATATGAATCGCATCCCGAAAGGGTAAGCCGTGGGCCCTAAACCGTGCTCTACTCCGCTTTTTCTGCAGCAGGCGCGCATGCAAATGGCCGGCGGTGCCTCAAAGAGGAGGCATGACGTGCACGTGAGGTTTGGGTCTATAGGATTTTCAGGCTTTTGCAAGACATGGAGCGGTTGCCTTGTTCCTGAGAATGCCAACTGCCTGGTGAGGTAAGGCTCGCGACATCCGAACCGGATCATCAGGTAAGCAACTCCACCGGCCGCTCGGGTTTTCGCCCTGGCCCTAAACTCTCAAGTTGGAATGGCTAGGACAGGAGCCCTAATCCTGAGTTTGCCCTACCTGCCGAAACAGAGCCCTAAAAATAAAAAACACGGAACCTTAAATAGGTATTTTAAATCTGGGATCCACGCGCACGCGCTTCAGAGAGTTCGCGAGCTTGGATGTTCGGAGCCGCGCTTTCGTCGTTTATACAGACCCGCCCCCCCAAGGCCCCAAACCCCCTCACCCAAGACCGAAATCGGAGTGGAATAGAAGTGGCTGGCAGCAGTGGCTGCAGCCGCCCACGCTCTTCCCCTCCCACATCGCAGGGCAGCTCGGATAACGTCGGCCACCTGCCGTCAAGGGTTCGAGACGGGGAGGGAGGAGGCGGAGGGAAGCAGAGGGAGAGAGAGAGAGCACATAGCCAGCAAAACCGCCGCCCGACCGCAAGTGCGAGTGAAGCAGCAGGAGCTTCGGAGAATTAAAGCGGCTGGCTCGTAGCCAGAAAAGCCGCCGCGATGGCCGCCGCCAGAGACTGGCATACAACAAGGAGCGGCAGTCGAAGGACAGGCACCCAGAAGCCGCCGAAAGTGTCAGCGATGGGTGCGGAACCAGGCCGCAGCCCCGAAGTGCCCCGAATCAGCGTAAATGAAAACAACAGGTCTTACCGCCCAAGCCGCAGCATCGGGGAGCCCTGAAGCGGGAAACTGCCGAGCGGCTTTACGGCTCAAACGCCGCTAGCCGCAGACATGCACACATGCATGGAAAACAAGGAAACAAGGTGCCTAGCATGGCCTTCCGCACCACAGACGCTCACATGGAGACAAAACTTGATTGATGCACACCACGGTTTTTGATGGAACAGGCCACGCATCACAGGAATCCCAACTACACCAACTGCAGACTGATCGTGGAACTGCCCTGAAGGAGAAAGGGCGAGCAGCCAACAAAGAACTGCGAAGAAGACTAGCAGCCCCGACACAAGCAAGAAGAAGTGCAACAGCAGGTATAAACAAACATATCGGTAGAGGGACTGTCGCTCTAGTGGCTGCTGCGGCCAGGCAGCAATTCCCTTAGTCCCGACGCCGGGTGCCCCGGCCCTAGAAGCCGCGGCAAGACAAGCACGCCAGAAGGGATGCAATAAAACCCCCCCCCAAATTGGTGCTGAAGCACTTGCCGCTTGTGTTTTGCAGAGCTTTGTTGGGCCTACACCCTAGAAGGCCATACCAAAACCCTGACGGGGGGCTCCAAGAGTTTCCAACCCTAGTTTAATCGAAACGGGCCTCATCGGCATTCGACACCTCAAGACGACCGAGATAGCCCCGCATGCTTGTTTACACTTTACACCAGAAAACCCGGAAGGCATGGATATGCATGGATGCCCGGGTGCGAAAGACTTCAAGAGCTCGCTGCCACGAGGAGGAGGCGTTGAAGGCTCGAGCTGCCGCCAAGAAGCAACCCTGGGGCTGTCGCTTTAGGGGTTCGGGGCTGATAGGGTACTGGGGTATATCATGCTACAATATGCTAGAGGGCCACTGATTCGATGTGCTGAAGCCTAAAGCCTGAACCCTCGAAGGCGTCCTGGAAGAGGTCTCCCCCTCTGCCGAAGGAAAACACTCGCTCAAGTGAAACCTCACCTCGGTGCATGAGCTATTCTATACCACGACTTCAAAACTAGACCGTGAAATGCTGAGCAATGAAGGCGGCACACACTTGACTCGAGGCATTCTTCTTAGATAACTGTACAACACGTACAAAAGTCTTGAGGCCTAGATCTTAGACTCCTAGACCCCTGCGGACCCGAGTGGTCAATCCTGGTCAGGCTGGATGGACTTCGAGACCATCCTTCGCAACAGCTCCTGTGGGGGATCATGATTCTACTGTTCGGGCCTGTGGAGTGTCTGGTTTGGATCTGAACGGTCTTACTTGGTTTGTCTCGGTTTCGACCGGGTCAGAAGCTCAAACCTTAGGTCCTAAACCCCCGACGGCATCGAAGGCCAAAGAGCGTAGATCTGAGCTAGCAGACTTGAGCATGCACGCTGAATGCTGCGAATATATGGGACCCCCCCCGACTCTGAGACGAAATGTCCGTGCTCTTGCGGTTAAAAGCCGAGAAAGGGCACGTGATTTCACCGAAGCGATACCTCCAGGGCTCGGTCGGTTACGGGTCAGTGTGCCAAGCTACCAGCGCATCCCGAACATGACCAATGAAATTTACAGCCGCCAACACAAAAACCGCGTGACTTCGCCTGTGCATGGTTAGGCCCAAGCAGAATCCTCTGCCTGCTGCCAGCGTCCGCCCTCGCCTCTTTGCTTGAGAGTTTCGGAGTGGCTTGTTCAGGGAACAACATCATCGGCTTCGGGCTCGCAGACTGGAGGTTCCGGGGTTCACAGAAGTGCGTGACGCAAACTTGCCTGTCTTGACGAGCTTCGACTACGCGGTTTGATGCTATCGGCTGGTCTTCTGGACTTTCTCTGACTCACGACCAACAGATTCAAATCTCAAACTCGGGCTCACCCACCCGCCTTCTTCTGCCCCGAGCTTTCAGAGCTGGGGCCCTACTCAGAGTTTACTTTGTGTTTGGTTTTAGGGTGCGTTTCTTCCATGTGGACGGCCAATAGCCCTGATTTAAGCCTTACAATCTGAGACCAAACAAGAGTCTAACCGCAGAGGTGTTCGGACCAAGGATACAGAAAGGTAATGCGTTGAGACGAGTCGGCATGCGGCTTCAAAGCTTTCAGGTCTTAGGTGTCTCGGCCCTCACTGGCTGCAAGTCCTCATTGGGGCCATCATTGAGATTGAGAGTGAGTGTTGGGAGTTTCGTAGGCTTCGTGTACCGGCCGAGCCACAGGCCGTCAGCGCACCGCCATAACAAACCAAATCCTGGCAGGCTGTGGGATTTCCTAAACCCTGCGAACCGTACGTCAGGGTCTTGAAGGCCTCCGTCAACCCTCAGTCCTCAGAACGAAACACGCCAAATCTCAACCTTCAGTCGGAAGCTGCGAAGGCTTGCGTCAACCTACGCTGTCAAACCGCGGTTAGCTTTCCGGCGGCTCTACAACCGAAGACACGCCTGCGCCGACCTTCCTAGCTGCCCGGGCTCGGCTCACCCTAGCATGCTTCTTCAGTTTAGACGATTCTGGTGATGAAACAGGCAGACATGATGAAAAGGACAGATATGGTGGTGATGGTGATGACGACGATGGTGATGATGATCGAAGCAATGATGATAGGAACTGTTGCGTGCACTCGCTGTCTTCGTTGCTACCCTTGCCCATGCGAGACATTGCCACGGCTGGAACAACGCCAGCAAGTACTAATACTGTTCCTGCTGCTGCCGATATCAGTGTGGCGACCACGCCGGCCACGACCTTCGTAGTTGCTAGCATGATCGTTGTCATGGCTATTGCCAGGTCTGATTGTTGTTGAGGCTTTCGTCGTGACCTGCAACGCGACGTGTCCATGGCTAACTCGGAGGAACTCACAGTCGGCTTTGCATGAACATCATGAACATGGCTCAGGAGCCTTCGTTGGCCCTATGCTACCCTCCGCCAGACTCCCCCATTGGCAGCGGCAGTCCGGTGCTGCTTGCAAGTGCTCGAGAGTGTAGAACAGCTTCAAGGAGAGCCTGGAGGAGTTTGGACGAAGGGATCTTGGTGCTTTCGAGCCTTGGTCTTCTTTGACTTCAACGAGTTGATGGAGTGGCATTGGTCACGAGCGGGTTGGTCTTTCGGCAGCTCGTCGCAGGTGCTGTTGCGAGTGGGCGTATCCTTTGGAGTCTTCTGATGCAAGCCAAAGACTGGAGCCAGCATGTGACAAAACCAGAGACTAGATTTGCTCCGTAAATTAAAAAAGGGCTGCCTCGAAAGGCACCCAGGGTGATCAGAAAAGAACCGGATGAAGAACTGCCAACTCGCAAACCACTCAACAGCATTGCATCAAGCGGGACATGTGAAAATCGAGGATGTGGCTAAAAGAGCAACCCTCTGAGCATAACGAAGCCTTGTGCAGACAGGAGGCTGCCATTGTTTGGCCCTTGAACAGGCAGCCATGATGGAGCTGTAGCTAGCGATGTCCGCCTCCACAGCATCAGGCCGTAGCTCACGCCGGGGTCTTGGGCGAGGGTTGTCAAGGGGGTGGTTTCAGGCTAGACTGCTCAAGCACGCGCAACCCAGGTCATGTTTAATGGCTTTTTATTCGAAGCGTAAACTGCATGAAAACTACACATGAACCGAAACTCATTGCCCTAATGGGGTCAACACGATAGGGTTTACTGTAAGCCCGTACAACAAATCCGAGGCTTGGTTTCCGAACCCCTGGTTGGAAGAGTCTTGGGACGGGTGGTCCATGTAGGAAAGAACCCCCAATTTTAGGGCCAAAAACTATTGTAAACCCGCTCAGCGTCGCCAACAGTAGCCGTTCAGGTTTTGAGGGGTTTTCGGGATCTCGGGGCCTGGCTTGCAGGCATTCCCTCCGGATGTTATAACGACCATGCGAAGAAGTGCGATTGGGCACGAGAGGATCCGGGCCCGAACCGTGATATCCTCCATGCTCTAGTGACTCTAGTGGAAGAGAGCATCCATGCCCGAAGCGCACGCAGGCCCTATAACACAGAAACGCTTTTTTCTTCTGCTTCGCAAGTGCTGACCTTGCCAGTATGTCCTGCACCGACCCCCGCGCCCTTCCGTCCCACAATGCCCCAAAACTCGATCAACAACGCGCATTTCCTCCTCAAGGCCTTAAATCGTCAAACGCTGCGGCCCTGCGGTCGCTCATAGCAATGCTGCCAGTTTCTTGCCGGACTCTCGGTGGTTCAGAAGGCGCTTGACGATGCTGACGAAAAATGAGCTCAGTGGCAATGTGAATATCATGGGAAGGAACGCATCAACGTGTTCAGCAGTGTCTGCAAGACACAAAAGGGGAAGCTCCGTCGTCAGTGACCAACAAACTCTCACTTCGAGAAGGGGAATTGAGAATTTCGATTCCTTGGAGCAGGAACATTGGCATCAGCGAAGCTTGCTCTCCCGTGAACACCATCACGCCAACAGCAGACAATCGCCTAAGGCATCAAGATATTCCATATAGCCTGCTTTGGTGTAGTGGTGATGATCGCACTGACTGGGGTCATGAATGCGCAGGTGGCCCCTCCAGTCTACGAGGCAGACATCTGACCATGCTCCACCAGCCAATATGGCATGCTTGACAGCATCTGCATATAACTCGCCTTGTTACTCAGGTCTACAGGGTACTCCTCCTTGCGAGTTAGCACTAGCGCTTAGGCAGGTTCCCGAACGTTGAACCGACAAAAAACTCAACCAAACCCCTAAAACGCTATAAGCTCTACACCACTGCAGCAGAGCTGCTCAGCGGATTTGCGACCACAGATCCCTGTTTTGGCAGCGCAGGGCAGTTCGGGTTCGTCCGCCAGAGCTTTGATGAAACTCGCCACCCCCTCTCCCGAAGACCTTGGATGTGCTCGAACAACCAGAGACTTCGGGCTCGTCAATGTTTAGGGTTTAGGGTTTGGGAGTTTGCGTGTGGGGCTTGGAGTTTTGAGTCTGGCCTTCTAAGCTGAAGGGCTCAGGGTTGGGTCAGAAACCACAGTCTACAAGCCTTCTTCTAGGCTACAGAGAGGTTAAGACTAGATACAGCCTTTTGACACGTCGCACTTCTTTCTCGACTGTGTTACTGCTATCCCGGATGGTACCGCAAACACATAATACTCCTGCTACGAAATGTTCAGCTTACCACGGTCAGGTACTGGTGCTCTCTGAAAGTTGTTTGTTATACCTTCATTCCAAGAGGCCCCCTTCGAATGCAAACAGGATCTGCTCTGCCCTGCCCATCCAACCCCACTCAGTCAGGTTCTCTTCGCAGAAGACGGCTGTTTTAATCCTCAGTGCAGAGCAGAATTCGGGTTCGAGTTCGGATTTTGAGGATGTGGGTTTTGAGCGTATTGGCTCGCAGACCACGTTTCAACGACCGAAAACTAGATTTCTCTGCTTCTCACTCTAGATGATACAAACATAAGCACTCTCGTTCGAACTCCCTCTCTCTCTCTTGCAGTCTCTCGTGTGTATTTATATATATATATATA